GAGAATTAGCTATTTTGCAGATTAGTGTTTATTTTAATCTTACTTATGCAGCAAGTCAGCTCCATGCAGAGCCCTTCCAGAGCCCCGGCAGAGTCTGCTCCACTTGATTTAGTATAAGCATCTCCAACTTAATGTGCACCAGAGATCTCCCAACTTTACACTCTTTCCCCAGACCTTAGATATTCAGCCTAATGCTTATGTCCATCCTGTTGTCTAAGCCAGAAATGTGGGATTAATTTCCAATGGATGCCTACATTCTTTGCCACACACACAAGTCATCAGCAAGATTTCCCTTTGTTTTCAGAGGAAGTCTTGTTTATCAATTATTCCTTAATGAAGGAAAATTAAATAATAATTTAAGGTAGAGTTTTTAATTTAAAATAATAATAGTGAACCCATTGTAAGTTAAGCAACACTGTTGAATGAAAGATGACTTTTTAAAACAAAAGATTACCAAAAAGCATAGCACTCTTTTCCATCTTTGTTGTACATTTCTTTAGTGTTTAACTTAATAACAAATAGTTGGATTCTCATGTGCTTCAACATTCAAGCTGTCATGAAGTTCCAGGCCACACAGCCTCAGGAAAACAGTTGGGAAAGAAACGAGGACTGTTGCAGGCAATGTAGAAGGTAATGATTTGGGCTGATATGGTGTTAGGAGTTTGTGAGTTCATACCTCAAACTAAGTTTTTCATATAAACTTGTGATGACAGAAATGTTGAAGACATCTGGGTGGATCAAAAATTGAACAGGAAAATGCAAGGATGTGGGGCTGAAGATAAAACCCGCTGAACTTCTGGTCTTGCAATGTGCAGAGGTGGCTAAGTTTGACCTGACTGGGGAAATTAGGTCTAGAAGCACTGTGTGCATAATGAGGTCCCGGCTCCCTGTGTCAGACGGGGACTCAGCAGCCCTCTCCCAACATGGAAGGAACTTGGAAGAGCTGATGCTGACTCCCAGGCCTGCCCCGGCTCCCGCTAACATGATGGGGCAGGGTGAGCACAGCCGTGCAGAGCCCGGCTTTGATCTCGGGGAGTGACTGCAAGATAGGCCTTAGACACACAGCTCAGAGCACAGCTGACAATCTGCCTGGGGCCTGGACTGTGATCCTTTGCAGCAAGGCCCAGATTAAAACAAAGCAACAACAACAACAAAAAAAACCAATTACTAAATAGGGAGGGAAAAGGAGTCCAGGGCAGAGGGAAATTTTGCATAGGAAAACACTTAGGAACTTGGAAAGAACCAAGTCAAACTTAGGAAAACATAGGTCAAACATGACAACATGAATTTACTCCTGACACAGTGTAATTCGAATCAAACAGTTTTGTTGTGATTTTTAAAGTTAGAACTGAAAAATCTAGCCAGTATAATGAAACCACAAATGTATTTAAAAAGAGGAGCTACTTAGAAAACAGTATGGAATATAATATGAAAAATATAAAAGAAATTAGGAGAAATGGAGGCTAGACTAAGACAGGTCCCCATGCTCTAAGATGCAGAGTGGGACAGAGTGGAATGACAGAAAAGCTGTGTGTAAAGACCTATTGGCCAGGAATTCTTCAGAATGGAAGAAAGCCCACCCCCAACGGAGTCCTGAGCAAGGTAAACATCTGTGAGCAACATCCATCCTGAAAGCTGCCTCAGGAGAAGCCAGTGTTGAAGAAAGTAACATTGCGCTGACAGCCTCATGGGCAACTGGAGGAGAGTAAGACTTTCAAAATGAGGAGAGAAGGTAAGGGTCATCCTTCCATTCCAGAGCTGACAAAGCTGTCAGTCAAAATGTCTTACAAAGTCACTTAAGGGAATACACATAGAAAATTAGGCCACTTTATACCCTTACTGAAAAATTTATTTCAGAATTTATTGCAATGAGAAAAATGAACCTGAAAAGGTTGGGTGTGGTAGCATATGCTTGTCAGCCCAGCTATTCAGGAGGCTGAGGCAGGAGGATTGCAAGTTTTAGGCCAGCCTGGGCAACTTATTGAGACCCTATCTCAAAATAAAACTAGAGCTAGGGATGTAGCTCAGTGGCAGAATGTTTCCCTAGCAAGAGCAAGGTCCTTTGTTTAATCCCTAGTGACATCACATGTACACACAGGCACATGTGTGTGCACATGCACACACACACACACACACACACACACACCTGGAGGGAAGGAGTGGGATTTAAGAAACAGGAATAAAGGAATATGTTCTGAAAATATCGACTATAATAACATCACTGACTATAAAATAGATATTTTGGTTTGCTTTAAAATATTTTTATTATGTATTTTTACTGCAATACCTAATGATTCCATTTATCTTGGGGAGTTGGTACATGTACGTTACGCATATTCTTTATTATCCCTTTCCATCTCCTTGCTCCCTCCAACTCTTGCTCCTCTTCCCATTTGAAAAAGTTCTATTTCCATTTTCTCTTCAATTCTTTTTTCACCCTTTTTCTTTTCCTTCCCTCCCATTTTTAAATCTTTCTATTATCTTTGCATCTTTTCTGTTAATCAAATATATATATATATATATTTTTTGTTGTTGTTGTTGTTGTTTTGTTTTGTTTTTTGAGACAGGGTCTCACTACATAGTTGAGACTGACCTCACTATGTAGCCCAGACTGGTCTCAAACTCACAGTGATCCTCCTGCCTCAGCCTCCCAAGTGCTGGGATTACAGGTGTGTGCCACGACACCCAGCTTTGTAAATCCAAAAAAATTTTAAAAAGCCAATTAGAAATTACCAGGGACACACAAAAGGGAAATCCAAAACCTACCCCACCCAAGCCTACAACTTGTCACTGTAGCAAGCATCCATGATCATTCATTTTTGCGTGTACGTTTTAATTTTAGGTGTTAAATTCTGTGTGCTCTCGGGTGAACCAGCTCTGCAGAGAGACTGTACTTCAGGTTACTTAGGCTCTTCCACCACAGGGCGGCTCAGAGTCCCCGGCCTCTCCCCACGTGCAGATGGGTTGGGTTTTCCTCCAGGGCTGCCTGTGTGTCATTTGCATCCCCTGCGGGTCGCCCTCCATCCACTTTGCCCGTTTCTGTGGTTGGTTTGGTCTTTATTGTTTCCAAGAGCGCTTCATTTAGAACAGAAATCAGCCCATGTCTTTCAGGTGTCACAAGAGGAAGAGTCCTGTCGTTCGTGTTTGTCCTTCTTCTTTAGACCTTAATATGTATTTCTTTCTGCCTGATTTTTGTCTTTTTGCCCCCATTTAGGCAAATGTGCTCACCTTGTTTTTACAAATTTTGCATTTGTGGATCGTCAGTGGCATTTCTTTCTCTGGGGTCCGTGCCTTCTCGCCCCTCTGCCCCACCCTTTTTTGCAGACCTGCTGCAGGGCCCTCATGCCAGCTCCCCTGACGTAAACCCCAGGCCTTCGTGCCAAGCTGTCTTGGGCGGTAACTACGCCCTGATTGGCACGGCGTGGGGCGTGGCCGGGGCTCAGGGAGGGCGGCACGGCCACTGATTGGTTGGCACGGAAGCTCCGCCTTTGGGAGGAGCTGGATGGGGGCATCGGGCAGCGCCAATGCCCAGAGTCGAAAACCAGGGCAGCGAGGACGGAGGACGGGCGGACGTGTCCATCGTCGGGCACCAGCTGCGTGGCTGCGCTGGGCGTGTAAGGG